TATATATATTTTTTGGTACTAGGGATCGAACTCAGATCCTTCCGCTTGCACAGCAGGTGGCGAAACCACTGAGCTAAATCCCCAGCCCAGTAATATATATTTTAAAAATATTTTTATTGAAAGTACCAAATAGCACCTCTTAGTTTCTCATAGCAACTTTTAGTAGTAGAGAGTATAGCATGAAAACAATATGTTACCTGGTCAATATAATTAAAGAACTACTTTATCCTCTAAAAGAAAAATTAATATTTTTTCCCTTCTCTCTCCAGAATTTCTACAGACAGTTCAAGGAAATTGCTGCTGTTATTGAAACTGTGTGAAAACTGATTACTTGTTTTGATAAATTGTTATCATCATTTTGAAACAATGGACTTCACCTTGTATAAAAGATAAGCAGGAATTAGTGGTGATTGATGCACAACTTTGTGAATGTAGAAGTGACTGAATTGCACAACTTTAAAGGGTAGATTTTGTATGTGAATTATGTCCTAATAAAAAAGATCAGATGATACTGAAGACAGTTCAGTGTTATGTATTTAATAGAACAATAGTTTGAAAACTTACTGGTAATGGAACCCACTTTTAAACAATTTTATACAGTCCTATAAATATATATGTCAGAAAAATAGTGTTTGAAAGTCACTACAAATTTAATCTTAACATTCACGTATAAAGCAATGGACAATATCCTGACACGTTAAAAGAGTTCATCAGTGAATTCTAACATTTATTACAATGTTGTAACCCAAACCAGAAGTTGTAATTAAAACTGTTAAAATTCTTGAATTATAATGATTAGGGAATATCTAAATTTTATTGGTAATGGATTTATATATAATTTCTTATGCTGGAATGCAAACTGATTCTTTTAAAAAGTGGATTAGAGCATTGTTTTGGAGGTCTGTGATAGTTGATTCTGTCAGTTTGAGTAAGTAATGAGTAACTAAATTGGCTCAGCATAGTTCTGAATATGGAAGACTCACCTTAGGATTATCGCCAGAATGCTATAAAGGGGAAATGAAGAAGGAAGGATTGCTTCTGTTTTCTTCAGAGAAGCTCCAGTTTTTGCCTTCACCTTGGATGTCATTTCCTGGCTTCCAGCACAGACTCTTCAGCTTCCAGCACTGACCCTTCAGCCTTCTGGCACAGAACCTTCAGCCTCCTGGTGCAGACTCGCACCAGATATTACACAAACCTCCAGGCCTTCAACTGGGTCCTTTGGCTCCCCAGTACACAGACTGAGCTTTTGCGCTCTCCCGCACCTGACTGTCTGGACGGCTGTTGTAAGCCAATCCTGTAAATTCTTACATATTTGTATATCTTGTATAGTATCTGTTTTTCTAGTAAGCACTGACTGATACATGATCTTTAAGATCAATCTCAGTTTTGGTGATTTATTAGTAGAGCATATAGTCATGCTTATGGCCATGAGTATGATTTATTAGTGAAAGAATACAAATATACTAATATAATAAGAGGGTAGATCTCATGTTAAGTGTTCTTAACACAATTAAAACAGACACCAGTACTACTGTACCTCCCAGATATATAATATCCCAGTCTTCCTCCGGCTAGGCCACCAGCACTTACCTAGTCTCTGCAATCAGATGCATCAGCCCAGACTTCAGATCACAAGCTGCTGACATGAACAATGATTTAGTACCAGAGGAAAAGGAAGGTTTCACAATTTTCATATTATTTTGCTAAACACCAAAATTACACTAATACTTTTAAATTAGAAATATTCAAAGTCTAAGCAATTACAAATACAGTCTGGAGGTCTGGGGGCATAGCTCAGTGGTATACATGAGACCCGGCGTTCAGTCCCAGCATTGCAAAAACAAAACAAGATGCCAGTAGAACTAAATATCTAACATATTTAAAATACAAAAAAAAAAAAACGGGCTGGGGATTTAGCTCAGTGGTTTCGCCGCCTGCTGTGCAAGCACAAGGACCCAAGTTTGATCCCCGGTACCAAAAACAAAACAAAAAAGAAAAAAATACAAAAATGTATAATCTATTAAACACTAAATAAAGGATACATTTATACAAATAGAGTCTGGAGGTCTGGGGGCATAGCTCAGTGGTATACATGAGACCCGGCGTTCAGTCCCAGCATTGCAAAAACAAAACAAGATGCCAGTAGAACTA